CAGAAATTGATTTTGTCATAACTGTTGAACATACTTAAATGACTCCCACTAAACCAAGGTATCATCCAGAATAACACTCATGCGAGCATATGCTCGTGAAAACAAAACTTTAGGTGTCAAACATTTGGCTAATGGATAAGCTAGCATTAGTCATGTCCTTAATGTTCAATAGAAACTTGTCCATTTTGAACCTTCTCTTTAATCACCAGGAACTTGATGTCAATATATTTGACTTCTGAAATCCGTGGTAATGATAGTGTATACTATCAAATCTTTGTCACTGTTAACCTTTAATGACTTACCAATGTCATTCTAGTGACAAAACTTTGCAACCATAATTGGAAGCCTCAAAATATGCATTAAACTCTTCCCAACACTGAAAGGTAACCTGATATAGAGTTCATGTTGTTTTGATATTCTATAACATCAGAATCTAAATACCCAATGATCTCTAAATTATCTGATCCGATAATTAGCATGCATTCTTTTATCGTCTTTAGTAAATGCCTTATATGTTGGATTCTTTCTAACATTTCATGCATAAATAATTACCCAAATATCTGCCAAATACTCTTAACCATAAATGTTATATTGGGATGAGAATTAAGTAAACTGGTTGAGATTCAACTGTCTCTTTTAGCTACTACACATCTCCCCGATTACTAACTTTTATGTGAAGTCTACTTAAACCTTATCGATATAACTCTTTTGAAATTAAGTGTACATTGAGAATTTATCTCTTAGTATCTCAATACCAAATACAAAAGAGGCGAGACCAAGAACCCTTATCTCAAATTTCATTTTCAGAAATTTCCCGATCTCGTGCATTAAGCATATATCGCTACTATAAAGTAGAACATCAATACTGTAGAAAACGGGAAAATAAATTTCCTCCCACTAAACTTAGATATACACAGTTATCTCCAACATTAGTCTCTAAGTCGGAATGAGCTAATAACAAGATAAAAATTGTGATATCAATAATGAGATGCTTATATGAGCCACCATTGTCATTATATTCTTAAAGGAGTCTTTCAAATATACCAGAGAAAAAGTCTCTTTGATTCAATGTTTTCCTTCCTGTGTAAAGCCTTTAGGACCAACATGCCTTATATCTCTCAATGACTTCACCACATGGCATTAATCCACTTTTCAGAATTTGAACGATATTGTTAGCTAGAATCGTCCATCTTCTCCTTTGTGGATATACTAAATGGCACTTCTTAAGAGTGTTGAGTTTGTGCAGTAACTAGATTCCTTAAGTTTCCTCCCCCAAAATTCAACATACTCAAGAAATCTCACATTTCTCATTTAAAAACTTCTTGAGATGGGATTATAAAACTTGTAGCCTCGAGAGTACTTTATAGTAGCCAACAAAGTATAAGTTAATTCTTTTGTCCGTTATACCTTCTTGTACCTTACAAGGTATTTCCTAAACTGGACAACCCTAAATGTGCAAGGTCCTTATTGCGCATATTGGTTACATTAACTACCTTCTGGATACTCAATTTAAAGATGTACGTTGTAACCTTTATGGCTTTTATCCAAATGAAGTCTAGTAAGTAGAAATACTCCTCATAATAAGTTATGTCAAACAACAGTCTATCTTTGAACCGACTATTATTCACATGAACAACAACTTTATAATTATCACGTATTTACCATTAATGTGGTTGATTATTTTGGTCAAATAATGTCGTCCTTTGGTTCGACCACTACCCACATAAAATAACCTTACACGTACATCCATGTACTTTGGCAACATACTGCTAAAATTAATTTAATTAAAATACTGGACAATTCTGTCATCATAATCACAGAATTCCAAATAAGTGATTAATTATCCTTAAGAGAGAATTACAATAATAATTTTAAATAAAGGTTTACTCCATCTCAAGACACCTTGCACTCTATTAATATTTTATCTTTGGAAAAAATATTAACTTATAAGTGATGTCTTATGACACAATAATTAAATATTGATGATAAGAACATATGAAATAGTAAATCAACCTTTGGGTCGATTTAAAATTCACATGCTAACCGAATAATCATTACATATTTATTACTCTATGCGCACATATGGAACCTTAAATATTCACCTACCTTTGAGCCAGTGAATACATAATTTGCACGCGCTAAAATGTAAACCTTTACCATATGGGGATTGAAAATGTTCAAACCGACCCCAAAATTTGGTTTACTGAAATGAGGCTTATATTCCTCATAAACTAGTCTTGTTTACAAAATAAATTACGAGGCATGAAATGCACAAAGTGACTTTAGAGTGCATAATAATGATCCAATGACCATCACGCAACATAAAATATTAATGACAAGTCTTGTCAAATAAAAGTTTGTCTTTGGACCAACTACTATTCACATGGGAAAAACTTGATAGTCATTACATATTTATCGCTAAAAGTATATCGATATTTGGTCAAATACCTTTAGGCCGAACACCATACACATAAATAGCAATACACTATACATCCACGTATTTTAATTAGGTTTATCTTCACAATAGAAATTACTTTGGTAACCAAATGTGCAAAAACAAAACTAAAAAATACTGGACTTTCAATGTGACAATACACCCACATCAAGTTGCAACCGAATATAATAATTATTATAAAAGATTAGATATATAACCACCTCAAGCCAACAATTATTATAATAATTATGATTATACTGTAACCAAAACATGAACATAATAAATTCCTAACCGTAAGGAATAAATATATTACTATGAAAACCATTCTTAGTAATTATTATTGCACAACGAGAACTCAAGCATAAAATCTCTCATATGCCAATAGTTAATAAGGACAGGGATCAAGTTAAATTCCTTAACGCTAATAGATCCCAATTTCCGTAACTGAGATGATGATTTAATAAATTACAATCTCTGTAACATCCCGAACCTTTTCCCGACAAGATACTGTCCGCTTAGGGCCTCTACACCCGCACGGTTTTCGACTTGGGGTGCAATTCAAGGTGACTTCCCATAAGGTCACCCATCCTTGTTGTGCTCCACACTGAGCACGTTTAACTTCGGAGTTCTTGTTCGGAGTTCTCACAAGAACTCCTCCATTACACCCCAAAACGCGTCTTGTCAGTTTAGACCGGTTTCTTACTTATGAACCAAGGATCTCTCCCGTGCTTTGTCGATGTGGGATTCGCCTAAGGTGTTACAATCTCTGTAACCGAATGCAATTAAAAAAAAAACTAAGCTCTTAACCGACGGACAATCTTGATGACAATTAAAGCTTACAAGGTACAATATCTTGCTTTATTCACACATTTATATATAACCCATGCCCAAGACCGCAAATTTGCATATAAATATATAAGAATTGTTATTGAACTCATCGGAAAGTCATTTCCGTAAAGGGGTGGGGTGGCTCTGGTGAATATGGCTGTGTTTTCTGCCCATGTAGTCTGAAAATGAGATCTCATCTCTTTGCTGAGTGTTCTGTGTTTAAACAGTTGTTTGCAGCTCTGTTTGTTAAATTTGCATATCGAGTTCCTGGGAATCATTGGGATGTTGAGCTTCAGTGGGCTATAACTGCTTTCAAAGATTCCACTTTCTTAGCACAAACTAGAAGGCTGATTTTGCATGCTTTAATTGCGTCAATCTGGAGGGAAAGATGTTTGATTAAGTTTGCAGGGAAGAAGGCTGATTTCCATGCTTTGGTTCAGCGGGTCCAAGGAGATATTAGGCTGGTTGTAGAACCTGGAGTTGTATGTTTGTTCTTTTGAATTTTCAGGTGAACTGATTGAGTGATTTGTTATAGTTTTTGAGATTTCAGGGACCTGTTGCTCCCTTTGCTCAGCTGGCAGAGCTGTTGCCAGCATAGTACTTGGTTCTTTTGATGAAATGAAATCCCAACCGATTCATAAAAAAAAGTCATTTCCGTAACCGAACTACAACAACAATTATTATAACACAGCAACGAGACCTTATCATTTCCTTACAAAAAAAGACAATTAATGATCATGGCAAATTTATGTACATAACTGTAAGACACCTGTTGGGGGTGTTACTAAATACTCCGCACACAGACTAAGTAGTAGGGCGCAAAATCTGCGATGCGCGACGCGCGATACGCGCTACAGGTATATAAGGGCTTGAAGCCCCCCAAAGGAAAGGACTTCTCCTCTCCCCTCACTTTCCACTTTTGACTATCTCTCTACACCTTATCTCTCTACCTTGTTCTCTCAACTCTCTCCACAAACATAAACTGACTTGATCGTCGGAGCTTAATCCGTGGGGCAACCTCTGCTCTTTCACAGGTTTCTTCCCTCCCGACGAGATCAGACGAACTAATGACGAGTCGACCCGCACAACAATCTTTATTGTTCATACCTCGAGCTAGTAGGTACAAACAATTGGCGCCCACCGTGAGGCAGATTTCACATTCGTTCGTTTGATTTCCGAGGGATGTGAGACCGAAGAAACAATTGGTCAACATATTCTCCCTGAAACCTCCAACTCCGGCGCCCAAAAGAAGGGAGAACCCAGTAAAAAAAAGCGACGACAACATCTTTGTGATGACTGACGAGGAATAAAAAAAAAAAGAAAAAAAATCAAGCCACAATAGAGAGGCTTGTATACATTTGGGTAAAAAAAAGGGGGCATGAATCAGTCTCGTCCCCTGCCAGTTTGTAACGAAGGGATTCTCGCCGATTCCCGGTCACCGATCTGACCAAACATCCAAAATCAACAGTCATTCATCTCCAACAACACAGCCTGCCTTTGTGAATCTTCTACTTCAGCAAAATACAAAAACGAAGCCCATATCAAGCGATAACCAACGACCACAAAAGACCAACAGCCGCCAAGAACTAAGCTGGAAATTTCCAGATTCCGGTCGCCGGAGACTATTCTGCCATCCCCAGTCGCTGTCACCACTTGCTTCTCAAATATTAGAGTGCTTTTCTATAGTGGGTGGCCTTGCAGTCGAGGAAGACGAAAAGACAGGACAAGTCTCTGTCTGTCAGAAGGGAGGAGGCGTACTTCCCGAGGCAAGATGTTGCAAGTTGATGCCACCCTGGCAACGCTTCAGTAAGCGGAAGATTTTCCTGATTACTTTTTCCAGCTTAGGCGGGTAGCAGGTTGCCCGGAAATTGCGAAACAAAAAGCCTGAAATCGCCGACCCCCTGCCTCGCGGCCCACTCCCGCACAACTCAAAGCCCATGTTCATTAAGCCCGCGTCATCGCCCTTCAAGTCCACTTCACGACTAGCCCGGCCCCACATCAAAGGCGGACACATCAAAGCCTGCTCCGCCTCCTGACTCGCGTCCCGCATACGTCAATCCGCTCATCCCAATCGCGGCCCAGTTCAAACCGGTGTCCGCACCCTTCTTTCAGCCCCGCTCTCGCGTCACTGGTGGGCTCCGCCCCACTCCAACTCGCGGCCCGTCACTGCTTCACTCTTGCGCAACCCGCACCTTATGTTAAGCCCGCTTAACTTGGCAGATCCGCCTCACATGACCCAGCCCGGTTCAAGTAGTATACGCCATTGCAAAAAAATGGCGTTTCTATAGTGAATCGAAACCGCGCCACTCTTCCACTAGACAAGCATAATTACAGTAGGCTACAACAATAGCTTATGCTACAAGATGCGTCGCGCCTTTATTTTAACAGCAGCTTCACTCTACATGGGCTTACTTTTCGTTCACCAACTGACAATGAAGTGGGCCAATCATCACTCGCGGCCCGCGTTCAAAGTCCTCTCCCGTCTGCTTCGCATCATCTGATCCCACCTCACTCCAACCGCATCCCACTCTCATCCGGTGACCACTTCAAACTCGCGGTAGGACCGCTTTTGGCCGCTCTAAGAGGAAAAGCCCGCCTTGCATCGCGCCCGCACAACTAGCCCGCGAGCTCGCGCCCTCAACTCGCAGACGAGGCCCAACGCGCGCCAAGCTCAACAGACAAAGAGCTCATCAAAAATATCTTTGTCACCTCCAGGACTCGAAGCCGCGCCATTCCTCCACCGAGCGGGCATGTTAACCGCCGGACTATAGCGCGTTGTTTTTACTAAATCGCAGCGCGCCCTACCTATTCACTCTGACTCGCCCCAACAGCAACGCGTACTCAAGACTCGCGAATCTAAGTCCGCCCCGTCCAGGAAGCCCAAGTCGCGGCCCGCACTCGCAAATCCAAGTCCGCCCGTCCATCCATTCCCCACTCGCGTATCCGGCCCGCCCGTTCAAGTGCTGCAGTCCGCCAAACCCAACTAGCACACGTGAGTCCAACTCGCGGTCAAAAATATTATCGCCGCCACCAGTGCTTGAACATGCGCCACTTCTCTGCCAAACAGACATGGCAGCCAGCAGACTACGTAAGCGCCTTTTGATATGAAGGCGCATCGTTTGCGTTTAAACTACTCTTGCCGCTCAGGCCCACGATGCATCCGCAATCCACACTCACGCGCTATGTAGCCCAACTCGAGATCGGTGCACGTCCGCTGCTGCTCTAGTCTCGCGGCTATTTAGCCCGCTACAGGCCCACCACGACCTAGCCCGTCTCCAACACAGATCGGGCCATCCCCAACTCGCGGCCCGCGTTCAACAGACACGAAACTCCTCAACATAAAAAAAATGAAGTCGCTGCCGGTCCTCGAACCCGCGTCACTCTCCCGCCAGACAAGCAAGATTACCAGCAGGCTACATGCGAACTTTGTATTTAAATGGCGCAGCGTCTGATTTTCAACTACTCCTGCCGCCACTGCACCAATATAAAGCTAAGTACTCTATCATTATTAAATTTGAAATATTTTACTTTCATGAGCGTTAATGGCGCTAAGGGGGGCAAGACGTCCCAAACAACATGGGAGATGAGAAACTCAATCAAGCGACATATGGGAGCGCTCGACTACCTCCATGAAGAAGCTACAAATAAGTCTCAACGAAGCACACAAATAAGACTTCAATAAGAGCATCGAAGATCTACAAATAAGTCTCAACGAAGCACACATATAAGACTTCTATAAGAGCATCGAAGAAGTTACAAATAAGTCTCAACGAAGCACACAAATAAGACTTCAATAAGAGCATCGAAGACTCCAAACTGAGGGTTAAAAACCCCGACGAGGAGAGCTCCAAACTGAAGGTTAAAAGCCCCGATGAGGAGAGGGTACATTGCCTTGAAGACTCCAGACTGAGGGTTAAAAACCCCAACGAGGAGAGCTCCAAACTGAGGGCTAAAAACCCCGACGAGGAGGGGGGCACATTGCCTTGAAGACTCCAAACTGAGGGTTAAAAACCCCGACGAGGAGAGCTCCAAACTGAGGGTTAAAAGCCCCGATGAGGAGAGGGCACATTGCCTTGAAGACTCCAAACTGAGGGTTAAAAACCCCGACGAGGAGAGCTCCAAACTGAGGGCTAAAAACCCCGACAAGGAGAGCTCCAAACTGAGGGTTAAAAACCCCGACGAGGAGGACTCCAAACTGAGGGTTAAAAAACCTGACGAGGAGAGCTCCATGAAGAATCTACAATGGGTGAAGGCTACACGCCTTAATGAAATACACCAACCGGGGGGCAAGACACAAGAAGCTGGCACCGCATCAGTCAAACGCGCCACCAGCTGGGGGGCAACTGGGGTACATAGGGATCCACCCAAAATTACCGACGAAGATTTTTTAAAAAAGTAATAAGCTAGCGATGAGTTAAGACTCACCACCAGCTTGGGGGGCAATTGTTGGGTGTGTTACTAAATACTCCGCACACAGACTAAGTAGTAGGGCGCAAAATCGGCGATGCGCGACGCGCGATACGCGCTACAGGTATATAAGGGCTTGAAGCCCCCCAAAGGACTTCTCCTCTCTCCTCACTTTCCACTTTTGACTATCTCTCTACACCTTATCTCTCTACCTTGTTCTCTCAACTCTCTCCACAAACATAAACTGACTTGATCGTTGGAGCTTAATCCGGGGGGCAACCCCTGCTCTTTCACAGGTTTCTTCCCTCCCGACGAGATCAGACGAACGAATGACGAGTCGACCCGCACAACAATCTTTATTGTTCATACATCGAGCTAGTAGGTACAAACAACACCAATTATAACAAACAAAACAAAAAAACTCGGGAAAGGAGAATTAATTAAACACTTCCTGAAACCGACTATAATTATACTTTAATCCACACGAATAAGCATTCATAATCCTTCCTTAGTTCCATAACCGAATTATTATTATTATTATTAATGCTGGAACTAATTTCAATTTGGAAGGCAATTTCCCAATAGTAAGGAATGATTAATAATTCTTTATATGTATATATACTGCGGGATGCTTAACTAATTGTCAAAAAAACACATATAACCGTAGCATGGCAATTAAGCCTTACGGTAAACACAAATTATAACGCCACTTGATTTTGCTGAAGGTTAAATTTCATAACGGTAAGAAATTATAACCATTTTCCTTACGTGGCTTTTACCGCAAGCTTATAGGAAAATGTATGTACAAAATTAAATTCCGAAGCCAAAAGATACCCAAGAAACATCAACAATTCGCGAGCCTCGAGGTATTTGAAATAGTTCCTTATGACAATAAGACAAAAACTTAAAGCTTAACCTTCTAGACTGGATGTAAGTGACGAATGTGACGAACTTAAGTCTTAAACCAACAAGATAACAACCAAACAACTATAATCGAACACCAATTGGAATGCAGCAAATTGATCCGAAAGCGTTAGCCTAACCCACGCTAGAAAATAACATGAATCTAACTGCAGCAACCCAGAGCAATATGAAACTTGAGTATGCAATATGCATGTTTACGGAACAGGAGCTTGCGCCACAAAACATAATATAATATGTCCCGAATCCAACTAACCAAACTCAAATCACATGCATAAATTACATTACATAATGTAAACGAAAGGAAAAACCCCAATAATCTAATCAAGATATTCGGCTCTGATACCACTTGAAAGAATTAACATAACATATGAAATTCCATGGAAACCATTTTGTTAGATTATCAAAGGTGTAATAGAAATACCTGGATTCATGTTGTAGAGATCATCTCGATCTTGATGCGGAAACTGGTGGATGATCTGTGACCGTACGATACTGGCAATAGCACGATCCGGGAGGTTTTGCGGCCTTCCTCAACCAAGCCTCCTTAGTTCCTATACGCGAGAGCTCTCATCTTCCTGATGGAGAGAAGATGAGAATATGTTCGTCTTGGTGTATTGGGGACCATAACCTCAAGGTTCCTTATATACTCACCACCATGGGCTCCCATAAAACCCATAGGTGTAAGTATTGGGTTTCCACCCATTGGACTCATATTAGGCTTGAGTAGTCATGGGCCACATAAAATTGACCACTTAATTTAGCTCATCTTAGCAAATAACAAATATGGTGTGTTTGGAAATTGATGGCCCACATAAGTTAGGAAATGAATTTCCTAACACATTCCGTTCATCTCCATCTAAAAATCCGTTAACTCAATACAGTCAGCACGCCACATCGTAAAAACAAATAAACAAACAAAACCAATTAAAACCAATCGAATCACACTCAACCATCCCACCTGAAGACTAATAGAAACCAACCATGACATATAGGATTTCGACCTACTCTCATCGTCGGAGAAAAACGACGGTGGCGGCAGAGGCAGGATAGTGGATCTATGGAATTGGGTGTACCGAGCGGTGCGAGGGAGGAGTGGATGTGCGTGAGGGTTGACCGTTTTGACTCCGAAAACAAATTTGTCAATTTTCGTATAGTCAAATCGAAATCTCTTGGCTGACTCAAATTTGCACTGAAAATTAGAGAAAATAAGTGATTGTGGGAAATGTAGAGATAAACAGTTTGGTTGACTCAGTTTACTTGATGAATTAGTTAAAACTTACAAATTCGAACGTGTTTGACCATATGTATTCTATTTAAAGTTAAACGAGCCACAAAAACCCGGTAGGATGACCAGTTACGAATTTGGTTTCGAGCTTCATGGTTATTGGACCAATGATTTTTACCGTTGTTATATTAATTAGTATTTGAACATTACTATTTTATAATTATTTTTACGGTTATTTTTATAAAGTGGATTTATTAATATTTCTCCGTGGCCACATACTTGCACAACATGTCAACATGTGTAAAATACCCATTTACTCCCAAGAAATGCACGGTCTCTCTAGTTTTCCAACACTCACTACAACAAAAGCAGGCACATAAAATTTTGGAGGCTAGTTCCACAAACTAAATGCGGGATTTGAAATTTTGAAGGCCCCTTTAAATTATATAAATAATATGTTTTTGCAGAAGCCCAAAATTACTATGCTAGTTCACCAGTTTTATAGGCCGAGACCCCAAATTTTGTGAGGTTCTAACATTATTTTTTTGTCAAAATCCAAAACTAAACACATAGTTCACTTAACAAAGTTATACTTGCAATTTAGTTTTTGAAATCAAAACTGCAAGCCTACAATAGTCAGTCGAATACATCATTATTTAGTTTTGGGTTACTTGTAAAAAACTTCGAGTCAACCTTAACTATTGGCAACAACGGTAATGTTGCTTCTTATTACTAGCTTATAACTCGGCCCGTTGGCTAACATTATGCATGTTCATATTTGATTGTTTATATTCATTAGAAATATGGTCCATTAATGAAACAAATCATAGAATCCTACACTGGACCATAAGTGCATTCGATCTGGTGGGATCTGATGAAATTCGTTTGAAATGTCCCATCAGTACATTTTTCTTTTGAACTTGTATGATTGGTAGGATGAAGGTCCAAGACATATTAGATTCAATTCGATATGGTCTTAGTCAAAGCTGTGTTGCGTCCAGTGTGGTTTGGGGTTGACCAAACAGTTGCACCCACGTATGTACATCCCAATGATACTTAAAGATTGCATATATGGTCAGTTAAGTGATTACCCACATTTTCCATCAATCAATTTCAAAATGGTGCAAAATGGTCGGGGACATGAAGTAAATGGTAAATGCGTTGAGTCCATATTAACACAAATTGGCAAAGAGTTATAACTTATAAGGAAGAGAAAGGCAGAACTATAATACAGACATAATGAATTAGTAATCGCATATAAATAAGATTTGGACTTGGAACAAAGCCTACATGGAAACGGTAACAAAGACAACCCTTAATTAAATCTAAGCGCATACGTGTATATGTAGTATTTCATGCAATAAATAAATGGAGTCTGTGTCCTCAACAAAGTCCAGCATCGACTACTGTTTCTAAGCCAAAGCAGGGACTATTTTGAAGAGAACGTCCAACTTACAGTAATTGGCCTCATGGATTCACTGCCCTATTTTTACCATGAGCATTTCTATTAGTGTTTTAAAGTACAACTTGAAGTTATACCATAATGTTAAATGTACAAATTGAAATTGTACCATAAAGGAATTTGACATTTATGTTAGTTGTATCATAACATAAAGGTAGTTATACCATAAAGGAATTTTGCAAAATAGTATAGGTACAACTTGAAGTTGTACCAACTTCAAGTTGTACCATAAAGGTAAAAACTATAGCACCAATGATTTAAAGTATTATAAAATTCATCTTTTATCATAACTTCGTATAGGTTCCTTTGAAGAGCGTTGAGAATGGGGATTAAGTCAGCCTCTAATAAAGAATTAGCACTAAGAACAGCAGAAGCAATCCTTCTGAGGTGGGACGAGGGGAATATGACCTCAACTTCACATGTCACATCCTAAACTGTACGGTAAATCTTAGTTAACCTGCTAGCCGGGCACTATGAAGAGAGAAGTTGCATTACACATCCAGAGAAGTGGTTAACATTCTCTTGAGGTAAAATATAAGTAAATCATCGTCAAACAGTCAGAAAATATAGTCGAAAAAATGTCGGGAAGATGGGAATATAATTTTACTATTCCAACACTGGATTGCCATATTGTGGAAATCCAGTTGCATGAAATTAAGATTTATGGCATCACATAAATGAGCAATTGCGGCAGCGAGCATATAAAAGATCCTCCATGAAGTATTTGAGGTTAACTTCACTATGTAATGAAAGCATGCATATGTAGTAACTCCATAACAAAGTGATATAACAACATGGTAAAGAAATACCAAAGTAACGTGTATAGGAAGCAACTACCTAGAAAAGATTCAACTTAACTTGTTATTCAAAACCAGCAAGTGTGACTAATATGCTTTTTCCTTAATGGTAGTCACAGAAACAGAACTTGTGGGGGCTAGGAAGTGACTACGCTACCCACCAAATCTAAGAAAATATCAAAGTGATTAGTACGCTGGAGATGCTTGTCAGTTAGTAAGAGAACCTTATTTCCAAAATTACAAAATATCAAGGTTGTCAACCCGCGAGTTGACTCGGACCCGACATAAAAAACGGGCTAAATCCACCCAATTCAACAACAGCCCGGAACAGGTCAAACCCACTGAAACCTAGTGGAACCCGGGCGGTTGGCCCGGCCGACCGGGTCAGCGGGCTGAATTGCTGCTGGCCGTTTCA